GAATATTGCAAGATTGTCTTTGTAAATCCAGATATGAGCCATATAAGGATTAACCAATCAGATGCCTTCATTCGCGGGGAAACTCTAGCGTGCCTCAGCAACAGTCATGGAAACGCGTCTGCCTCTGTTACGGCACGAAGCTAACGCAGCAGAATTAATGACCATATAGGGAAATTGGCTCCAGCTAGCTTATGTTCAAATTGGCCTCTTCCGCAATAATGCTAACACTACAGTGATGTCACACTCGGTCCACTCCTCATATACGCTCCATGGTCTTGTTTCTACTGAACAAATTTAGTTCAACACTTGTTAAACAGTTGAGGTGGAAGCAGCTGCAGTAGAAAAAAAATATCTTAAATGAGTTGGCAAATTGGGCCCTTTGGGAGAATTACCAACAAGGTCTATTTCTACAAATTGTTTAAAAGAGCAGGTAATTAGTCTGAGACACAGGAGGAGCTGCATAAACAAGAGCGAAAAGGGCTGGAGACCTGATTAGACACATGTTTTAACAACGCAACGAACAGACAACACAACAAATGAATATAAATAAGTACAAAATAAGTGTGTTTGTCTGAGGAGGACTGGTCTGGAATCTGGAATCACAGTTCTCTCTGCTCGATAATCTACGACAATCTGTGGCAACAAAGAACGCTAGCTCAATGAAGCGGTTACAACATGTGAAATAGTTAAACCGTGCTATACAAAAAAACTTGCCTTGCCTTGTCATCTAGTGTCAAAGACTATTAACACAATTATATTTCCGACATATTTCTGAAAGCTGCATCAATCCACGTGGGCCATATTTTGGGCTGACGAGCGCGTACTTGTGCTCCAGGCTTCTACCACGGGCACGTACCTGACATCAGCCCTGCACCCTACCGCAGCGCAAGCCTTTCTGTTTCAGGTTCCGCAGGCGTTCGACGAAAGCAAAAAAGCAGTCGCTCTCACGGCTGATTACTGCACATTATCCGTAATCACAACTATCTCCAGGTCACAGCCCAAAAGAACATATAGAATAGGAAAAAATTTGCAATTTCGACATTAACGCTATAAAAATATATTATAAATCACACATACAGTATGGGCAGAATAAATAGATGAAGTGGATAAAGTGACATTCTGAAATAGCAGTCTTTCTGGAGTGTATGAAGGAGACATGTGGTGTTTGAGCGGTGTTTGGTGAACAGACGACTGCAGATTGTCAAATATTCAGTGTGAGTTTCAGTGGGAGGATTCAGAACCAGCGCCTCTCATCTCCAAGGCTGCAATACGTCTACATTCAGGGGGAAGGGCACCATGAGACCGACTCCAGTGATGGACGGTAAGTCATCTGTACAAAGTCTGTTAAATTAAAAAAACTAGAGAGTAGAAAGTATGCAGATTTAAAGCTACTGAGACATCTACTAAAAGCCCTATTTCCACCAGCTCTGCTCTGCTCTACCTGGTTGTGTTGCCAATATGCTGCAGTATCTGGTACCGTATCCTAGTAACCTACCGATACCGCACAAGTATTTGCACCAGCAGCCCTCTGATCATTCACTGTCAAATAGAACACTTTAGTACCATCTCGATAAAACCAGGGCCAAGCAGGACTGAAGAGGTTTTATACCAAATCTGTCTCTGCTGCGTCACAAATAGATAGATTTTCTCTGATTTTCTTTGAACCACAACATCAAGAGGAAAATCACTGACGTCTCTGTGTGTGTTCTCAAAGTCTGATTTAAATCATGTTTATATAAATACATTAAAGTGTGATTCAACGGGGTTTAAATGGAAATGTGATGTTTGCGGAAAGCCTAAGTTGAGGCATTATATTTAACTTAAACATGAGTTTTACACAGAGCTGTGAAAAGAGTTAAATGCAACAGGAAGCAACAGGCTCTGTTAGTCCAGCTGAGCACCGGCACTGTGTTACAGTTTCTGTGTGACCTGGGGGTGGTAGAAGATCCAGGACATGTAAGGGCATTTATCTACATTTGTTTACAGTGGTCATCCCGCTGGGATGTAATAGAGGTAAGTTTTTTCCTTTGCTTCTTTTGTTTTTTTAAAGAACGGAAAGACGAGACAACAGAATATGTATCCTGCATTAGGTGAAAATATTGTTTATTCATGTTTGTATATGAACTTGCATCTGGCTTTGTTGCATGACTCTGCATCCTGTTGTATATAATGTGTATAATAATCATCACATTTAGATGATGTTAACAGTTTCTTGTCTTCATGAACTTTAAAACTGTAGTTGATCAGTCTGAACTTTCAAAAATCTACCAGGCTTTTTACAAATGTTTTTTAGATTCAGATTCATTTTATTTGCAGGAAAACCACATTGGAATGCATGTGCCGAAGTCCCCCAGTCTGCACCAGAGCAGTATATAAATGTTAGATCTGGTAAAAACTACAAGAAACAATTGTCACTGTGGAATCAATCAACAAGAACAGCTTAAATAAAAATGCAATATTATCGCAGTGCTTTGTTCAGACTGACAACAGAAGCAGTTAGCATATCAAAATGTTTTGCATCTTAGCCAAAAAATATCTTCTGCCAGAGAGAAGAAGCTGGAACATTCATGGGTCCAGAAGAGTCATTGATTATTCTAAGAGCTCGATTTAAGAGTCTGGATTCATAAAGAACCTCCAGAACAGACAGCTCACAAACCTTTCAGAGAGGAGAACCTTGTTTAGAGCTCTTCTTTCTTTAGACCTATTTACATGAGAATAGTATTACCTGGGGACCTCTGGTATTTTTCAAATTACTGCCCCACCTCTGTGTTACTTGCAGCGCATTCACATGGGATGAGCATCAGAAATCACAGCTGGATATGCTAGATGCCAGGCCAACATACTGCGAGAATTGTTTCTCTTCTTGGATTTCGTATCTTTCCTGTGGATCGGTTTCCATGCTTTGCATTTCTACCTGAGATGTTGCTGCAGTACAGTGTTCATATTTTTACACTGGTCCAGACCGGAGCAAAGATGATTCAAGCGGATCAGGTGAAAATACACTGGAATAATGCTAACTTTTTGAAAAATGCTAGTGAAGCATTTAGCATTTTACTTTGGACTAGAGCAGAGAAAATGGTCCGAACCAAGCAGCTACTCGCGCAGCTGAGGGGTCTGCTTCCGCCCTTATTATACGGCTTTGTACCAACAGAACACACAAAATAAACTTCAGTCCACTCTTAGGAATGCCGAAAGGTTTATTTAATGACAGAAAATAAAATAGTTCCCAAAGGCTTTCCCGTGGCTATGCGACTAACAGTTAGGCTATCAACTTCCAAACTAGAACTCTCTCGAACTGCATGAAAACTGAATAAAGAATTCTGAACATCACCGGTGAGTAGGGGTGGGCGATATGGCCTAAAATTCATATCGCGGTATAATTTGGGTCATAGACGGTAGACGGTATATATCGCGGTATAATTTGGTGTGTGAATTTCAATATAGGTCTAGCAGGTTCTTGCATAAAATAGTCAAGATTGTTAATTATTTATATATTAGAATCTAATATATATATTTTTTGAGTTAGAAAATCAGTTGTGAGACGAATAAAGAGACAAATAACATACATTATTTATGTATGTTACAGTAAATACCATTCACTGTAAAAGCAATTTTTAAAAAGAAAAACATATGCATTCATTTAAAATATAAAAAACTCACAAATGTTGAAATCAAAGTCTGTAGGAGTTAGACATGGTCATTATTTATAGTGTCTGAGAGTTTTGTGCAGGTGCATGACTTCAGTAAAAGCTGTTTGTTTACAAAGCTGGTCTTGCCATTTGTTGACGCTCCCTAAGCGCTTTTCTCTGCGCTGGATGATTCAATGGATTTATGTTCATTAAAACAGGGCATTGGATTTGAACAATTGATGTAAATGGTCATTTTGGCACAAATAATTTTGTTTAACAAAGTAGCTTTTGTGAGATATTGACCGCGGAGGTCTGAATCTGACGCTAACTTTCCCAAACTTCTACTGTGATGCTGCGGACACGGCACACGCATGGATCTATTTTGGCTCACGCTGGCGCTTCGAGCCTACGCCCCTTTGACACTGATTGGCCAAAAGGTAGACTCTTAAACTGTGATTACTGTGTGTGTATTTACCTCTGCTGGGGCCGCTGTGACAACAATACATAAACAGAAACACTGTGTTAATGCCGTGCTGTTGTTCGCTGTTTCCAGTGGTGTCCAATAGTGCTAGGCTAATGCTAGGCTAATGTGCTAGGCTAATGCTGCTGAATGCCGGTTTGTTTTGGTCCTTTCTGCTGGCGTCAGAGCCTGCGCAATTTAATGACATAATGACCTATCGCAATATGCCGGTATAACAAAAATCTCTACCGTGGGCCAAATTTATACCGTCTACCGCTTATACCGTTTATACCGCCCAGCCCTACCGGTGAGTGACCCAAACATAAACTCAACCTAAATCCATAATTTGATTCTCTGCAAATGTGTCCTTAAAAAGTTTTCGAGATTGCTTTTTCTCGCATTAAAACAGTATTTTTGTCATGAAAACCTAAACAGATACTTCTGAAAACATCCGTGCATGTGTATTAAGAATGTATGTGTATAAGTATTATCTGATTAACATTTAATTGTGTTGATTGATTGGCATTTGCGTTTATTGAGCGTTGCAAGCTCCGGAGTGGCCGGAACTACTTGCGGAGTAATCTACACACCAGAATTACAAGCAGAGGTTGCGTTGCCATGGGCAGCGGTCATTATTGTTTTGAGAGGTCCGTTATCAAGAAATAATGACCGGTAGAACGTTTTGAAATTACATTCAAATCAATGGAGCGTTCTCCTGCTGCTGTGAGGAGCCGTGAAATATAATTCACTTAAAAAAAAATCTACTGCAGCTTCCAATGTTCAAGCCTGTAAGAGATATGAAAAGGCAAGATACTGACAGAAAACAACGCAGAAAGTAGAAAAGACGTGCAACTGCAAAAGTGTTTAAAGAGTGTCCGGCTCTTATTATGAGGCCTCAGCTGAAGCTTTACCTGTGATGTCAGTGCCTCGGTCTTCGTCGGAGTCCTCCTCCTTCACTTCGGCCCTGGGCTCCTCCTTCACCTCTGGGACGAAGAAGTCTGTTTGTCGGGACAGCGGCACCATGTAGTGGATGGAGTCAGAACTGCAGATCTCCATATAAGGGAACGCACTCAGCTTCCTCTCCTGCAACAGAAGAACATGCAACAGTGAGTCATATACAATCAAATATACACACACACACATGCACACACACTCACACACACACACACAACAACACATAGTCACTCCCTGATCAATGACAGGCTACATCCCTCGTCTACTCCTCCCATACAGACACATAACACTTTTTACTCTGCAGCCTGGTTCACCTTCTCACAACATAATAAACAAAACATCTAGGTTTGGGCGTTGCCATGGTGAAGCTAGTCAAAAAAACATTGCATCTCTGAGTCAAACCATGGACTGAATATAGATGAGCAATGCTAACAAGCTACCTGACTTAATCCTTCACCTCTTAACACCATAATTATGATGCCATGTCTCTACACATTATGCATTTAGATCAATACATAGTAAACCAGGCGTGGCGTCACCTTAACATACAGTCAGAGTTTTATTCGCTCGCCGACAGTACGAGCTTTAACATGTTTGTTCACGAAACAGAGCAGAGCGCACTGTCAAATCAAATCAATCAATCCGTCGCACCCAAAGCAGCGTCATAGAAACATGATACAGATGAACTATTCACTGAGAGATAGTTTGCATTGCTTCTCTGAGCCTGCCAGCTCAAATTGCTGTGCGCCATTAGCAATTTGAAAGTGGTGGATAAAGACTTTCCCCTGCTGAGTCAAGCTTGCTATAGCGTCAGGGTTGGTTCTCTCTCTTCACAGCGTAATTACACCATTTTCAAGTTATTCTACAGCCTCAGTCCTGGATCTACAGCCTCAGTCCTGGATCTACAGCCTCAGTCCTGGATCTACAGCCTCAGTCCTGGTTCTACAGCCTCAGTCCTGGATCTACAGCCTCAGTCCTGGATCTACAGCCTCAGTCCTGGATCTACAGCCTCAGTCCTGGTTCTACAGCCTCAGTCCTGGATCTACAGCCTCAGTCCTGGATCTACAGCCTCAGTCCTGGATCTACAGCCTCAGTCCTGGTTTTATAGCCTCAATCTTGGTTCTACAGCCTCAGTCCTGGTTCTACAGCCTCAGTCCTGGTTCTACAGCCTCAGTCCTGGTTCTGCAGCCTCAGTCCTGGTTCTACAGCCTCAGTCCTGGATCTACAGCCTCAGTCCTGGATCTACAGCCTCAGTCCTGGATCTACAGCCTCAGTCCTGGATCTACAGCCTCAGTCCTGGATCTACAGCCTCAGTCCTGGTTCTATAGCCTCAATCTTGGTTCTACAGCCTCAGTCCTGGTTCTACAGCCTCAGTCCTGGTTCTACAGCCTCAGTCCTGGTTCTACAGCCTCAGTCCTGGTTCTACAGCCTCAGTCCTGGTTCTACAGCCTCAGTCTTGGTTCTACAGCCTCAGTCTTGGTTCTACAGCCTCAGTCCTGGTTCTACAGCCTCAGTCTTCGATCTACAGTCTCAGTCCAGGGATCCCTCTCTCAATATGAGCCTCCCGGAGGTTTCTCACTTGTTTCCCTCTAGGTTTCTGAGTGGTTCTTTGCCGATGCAGATTGGTCTAGGAACAGTGATGATCTGGGACATTTATCAACATTTCTGGACAGTGGTCATCCCGCTCCCTATGGACTAATGGCTCTTCTGTGTTATATTAATAAATCTTTTTATTGCATTTCCTGTGTTTTAACTGTTTGATTCTCTTTTGAACTTCTTTAAGTCCTCTGAGACGTCTGCTATTGTGATTTAGGACACCTATAAATTTAATAAAATGTAATAATCCAACAACAATCAGTGTTGATGACGGTCCCTGGACAAGTGGCCGTTTTACAAACCCTGGTCTAGAGTTAAACATGTCTCTGTGTTTCCATCCGCCGTTTTACAGCTCAGCCCGATCTAAACTCTGATTGATGGCGTTCAATCTAACTTTGGAAAAAAATACCCAGCTTTTGAATGACCTGCAGTGTGGGGGGAGGATTAGTGGGGGGTCCAGGGGGGGTTCCGATGCAAATGAGCAGGAGATCTCCTTGAACCCGGCTCGGTAATGAGGCTGCACATAGACAAAAGCAAAACCGAGCACAGAGGAGGCGACTCGGGGGAATAGCAGACGCAGAGAGAGGGAGGAAAGACGAGGTTCTGAGGAAGTGACAGGCAGGTTTACGGGAAGTTACTTAATCAGGGACGGAAGGGCATCAGGAGGATCTACTGCTGTGTTGACTGCTGTGTGGAACAGAGGAGGAGGGTGTGGTGGTCGTGGATAAAGACATAAACAAAAGAAGATTGTAGATTATTTTGAGTTTATTGGTTTATCTATTGATGACTAAAGTAAAGTAGAGTAGAGTAGAGCTACGAAGGGTAAAGTAGAGTAAAGTAGTAGGGTAGAGTAGAGCAGTTTAAAGTAGAGTAGCGCTGGTGGAAACAGGGCTATATTATGCAAAATTGTACTTGTTTGAATATTCTCTAAATGTATTTTATAACAGGTTCTATTTATGACAATGATTTTATCTACCTTTAACACAGAAATAGTGTTAACATTTAAATTTTGTATTTAATGACAATGATTTTTTCATTGGATCTTTTAATGTTTTTTTTATTTTAATCTTGTTTGTGAAGCACTTTGGCTTGTGTAGGATTTGTGCTGCACAAATATAATGTAAATAATTTATTAGAGCAAAACTTTGTCCATGAGCACTAGTCAGTTTTATATTGCATTTGAGTAATATTATCATGAGGACTGGTCTTTGAAGTGCATGAAGTGTAAATACTGTGGTTCTCTCCATGTTCAGTCAACTCAGTTTCATCAGGTGTAGAGAAGTTTTAGTTTTGCATTTTGGTGCACCTGGCAGCTTTGGAGAGGCTGATGGACAATAGAAGAACATAAGATCGGAGAGTGACTAGAGAGAGACTAGAGAGACTATAGAGGCTAGTGAGAGACTTTAGAGGGATTAGAGAGAGACTAGAGAGACTTGAGAGAAACTAGGGAGAGACTAGGGAGAAACCAGAGATAGACCAGAGAGAGTAGGAGAGACAGTTGTGAGAGTTTTGACCAATCAGAGCGCCACTGATCAGAGAGGGACGAGAGAGCAGAGTTTGTAGTACCAGTGTTCAGGATGACACTACAATTCTCACAATATCCTCTTTTGTGAAAGCTGTAGTTCCCGTCTCTGAGGACGAGCCATTTTAGTAAACACTAAGGTCTACGAGGAAATCTCCTTACAGCACAAGTAGATTTAGGCTGCAGTACAACAGATGGCCTCTAGTCCATGTGGATTCAGGTTGCAGTACTGCGGGTGGCCCCTAGTTCACGTGGAGACGGGTTGAAGCAGCAACACCCCATCCAAATAATATAATAGACAAGGCTATAACCACACAGAGACATGCTGGACTGATGGCTGCCCTGCTCCGCTCTGATTGGCTGATGGAAAGATAAAACCAGTCAGAGACAGAGAGGAGCATATTACAGAGATTATAATTAAAACATCAGTGCCTGGAGCTGTGGTTTGACAGTGAGCGGACACTTCATCTCTGTCTCCTGTCTGCTGAACGCTTCCCCTGCAGCAGAGTCGGCGTTTATAGACGTGTGATGACCACAGAGCTGCTCAGAGACACGACCATAAAGTCATTAATAAGTGATTTTATATACGCTCCGACAAGAGCAACGAGCCGCTCCTGTATGAGTTACATGTTCACATCCACAACCACGTGAGCTCTGCTATGTCCTCAGAGCTCACAGCAACTGAGTTCACAAGTATTTCTATCTTACAAAAGATGTTTTGCGCAAAGTTCTGAGCTGTAACAAGTGACCAATGATCTCGTGGATCCGTCGGGCTGACCGCAGCCCCTGCCGTGTTGTGGTCTTTGGAGAGGTGAAATACTAAATACCAATGCAAAACAATATATGTTTGCATCTGGGCACTTGCTGTTGTTTGTTGTAAAGTATGAACGGGAGTCCTCCGTGGCCGCAGCGTTCTGACCCGGGGCCACTGCGGCCACTCTGGACAGAGGTCCACCTCCAGCGGCTGTCCCTTTGACAACAACACGGCGAACGGCGCCACCGTAAGGTCACGGGCACAGGACTATTCTCTGCTTGATGTGTGCGTGTCTTTGCGTAACCTGTGAGCAACGCAATTAATACACCTCTGAAACTGGACTGCAGAGACTCAGTCTCCTCCGTGTCTCACCAGTTCATGTGGGTTGTGCCCAAAAGTAAAATGTTGTGAAACATTTTATCAAACAGGTTTAATGACATTCTGCCTCAGACTGTTTTGAAATGTCCCTCATCTGTAACAAACAATAGTTTAGGTCTGAGTCACTACAGAAAGACAGAATGTTTATAATGTTTTATATATTATAAATGTGGATTTATTGTAGTTAAAAAAAACAAATATTGTACACTTTGTTGTCATTTATCTTTCCATTCAAGCAACCATTTAGAGAAAAATATGGCATAATTTTGCTGATAGTTAGCAATGCAATTAATTACGATGAATTCATTTTTAAGCTGTAATTAACTCGATTAAAACAATTAATTGACAGCCCTAATAAGAAGACAAAATTAACTTTTTACATTTCGGCCTCAGTCTTGGATCTACAACTTGCCCGTCCATCCGTGAGAGTGGATCCCTCTCCCAATAGCTTTCCTGAGGTGTCTAAAAAAAAATCCTCACTGGTTTCTTTTTTTATCGTTCCTTGCCGATGCAGGAGGGTCTAAGGACAGTGATGATCTGGGACATTTATAAACATTTCTTCTGGCCGTTAGTTATCCCTACTCCCAATGGACCAATGGCTCCAATGTGTTTGTAATTATTGCATGTTCTGTGTTCGAACTGTTTGATTCTCTGATCTGTTGTTGACGACATCAGTCACAGAAGAGGAGCTCAGAGTAGTGCCGCTGCTCCTCCATGTCGAGAGGACCCAGCTTGGGTTTAGGATGCCCCTGGACTCTCAGTTAGCCTCGGACGTAGAGTGCTGAACCCAGAAATGGATAAAACGGAAGTGATTTGATGGATGTAAGGGTTGGAAAAACATAAATCTACATTTTGCTGATTTCTGAAGTTACTGCGGCAGCATTTTTTCTGAAAACCAAAGCAAATATAGAGACAATGTTTACGCCTGTAGCAGTGTTCTTCCACCTCAGAATTCCTTGGACGTTTATAACACTGCCTTCAATTTGAAAGTGTAAAAGAACAACAGAATCTGAGTGAACGAAAGTCATCCCCTGGAATTTGATATCTTTAAGGTTTATAAAGAACAAACTGGCCATAGAGCACAGGTGTCAAAGTCAAGGCCCGCAAATGAATTTTGCGGGCCCGTTGCCTGCCATTGACGCACTATTACGTCAATTGCGTTTTCCGCTATTTTCATGTTCCCAGATGTCTATTATATCTAATATGTATGGGGATAAGCTTGAGAGCATATTGAATTGAGCCAGCAGGTGGCAGCAGCGCTCTCTGAATGGTTTGAAAACAGCTAGATGCACTTGTTGTGCCTCTTTTTCTCAGCTTTTTGGTGATTTCAGAAAAACTTCCCTCTACTCAACTGGGAATTACAAGCTAGAAACAAAATTATTTTTGCTGATGAAAGTAGACAGTCTATTCTTTCAGAATCTGGTTTTGGATTTCAGATAGTCATAGTACACAATATTCTGTGGGTCTTGAAAAATCTATAAAAATCATCAGAAACTGCTGGCAATATGGGAGTACCTGTTCTGAAATGGGCTGGCAGGCAATGAGTTAATAAACATTGAACCAGTCCGGCCCTCGGCTCGCAGCAAATTTGTTTTTTTGGCCCTCTGATGTATTTGACTTTGACATGCCTGCCATAGAGAGACCAAAGAGAGAGACTAGTGAGAGACCAGAGAGAGAGACTAGTGAGAGACCAGTGAGAGACCAGAGAGAGAGACTAGTGAGAGACCAGAGAGAGAGACTAGTGAGAGACCAGTGAGAGACCAGAGAGAGAGACAAGTGTGAGACCAGAGAGAGAGAGACCAGAGAGAGAGACTAGTGAGAGACCAGAGAGAGACCAGAGAGAGAGACCAGTGAGAGACCAGAGAGAGACCAGAGAGAGAGACAAGTGTGAGACCAGAGAGAGAGACCAGTGAGAGACCAGAGAGAGAGACAAGTGTGAGACCAGAGAGAGAGAGACCAGAGAGAGAGACTAGTGAGAGACCAGAGAGAGACCAGAGAGAGAGACTAGTGAGAGACCAGAGAGAGAGACTAGTGAGAGACCAGAGAGAGAGACAAGTGTGAGACCAGAGAGAGAGAGACCAGAGAGAGACTAGTGAGAGACCAGAGAGAGAGACCAGTGAGAGACCAGAGAGAGACCAGAGAGAGAGACAAGTGTGAGACCAGAGAGAGAGAGGCCAGAGCGAGAGACCAGAGAGAGACCAGAGAGAGAGATACCAGAGGGAGAGACCAGTGAGAGACCAGAGAGAGAGAGACCAGAGAGAGAGAGAGACCAGAGGGAGAGAGACCAGAGGGAGAGACCAGTGAGAGACCAGTGAGAGACCAGAGAGAGAGAGAACAGAGGGAGAGACCAGTGAGAGACCAGTGAGAGAGAACAGAGTGAGACCAGAGAGCAAGGCCAGAGAGAGAGACCAGAAAGAGACATGTGAGTATTCTGATCAGTATGGTGCTGATCACAGCTGCAGTATTTAACTTACATTTATTTAGTCCATCCATCTAAAATGTTTACAATGATACAATAAAAATGACTAAAGTAAGTGTTGGTAAAGACCATGTGACCTGAGTCTATGGAACACGATGTAAAAGTGTAACAGAGCAGTCTCCCGGGAAGTGGCCACGGTCAGTGCGACCTCTGCAGCTGACTCTCAGGAGAATGAGGAATACACTGGAATACCTTTACTCTATAGTTTACTCTAGTCAACTCTAGTCTATCCCACTCTTCTCTATACATGGTTGTGTTGCTTTAGAACCTGGTGTCATATTTGTGGCCACCTACCCAAGTGGGACTCCCTAAAATGTTGGTATTTCCGAAACTAACCTTAATCAAACCCTGACCTTCACCAAATTAACTCTTTCAGTACTAATCTTATCAGAACTCTCACCATAGCCAGATTGTGACTTGTCTTAAATAAAAAATTCAATGCAAATAAGAAATAAAATTCTGCCCGTGGGGAGTAGATTCCCCCAGGATTTCTGTTTTTCTTTTTTAGTCGTTCCTTGCTGATGCAGGAGAGTTTAAGAACATTTATTAAAATATCTGGACAGACAAGAGAGACCAGAGAGAGACCAACAAGAGTCGCTCATTCTGCTTCCTATGGACCAATGTCTCCTGCGTGTTTTTTATAAATGAATTTCCTACAGTTTGAAGTCTTTTTAAAGTCCTCCGAGACGACTGCTGTTGTGAATTAGGGCGACACACAAATACACTGAATTGAATTGAGAATCGTATTAGAGTGTGGCTGGTGAAAACGTGTTCTTTATAGCCTTGTTTGAGTTCAGTAATATCCCCTTCCCACCATCACAGCTGCTGCATTGTGTGCCTAAAACAGACCAGAACATTCTCACAATTTATTCAGGAGGAAAAGGCCAGAGCTTTAATACGTCTCCCTCCTGTTGGTTCATTAGTCTGGGAAACATATAAGACGCAGCTGGACCCGACAAATTCAAAGAGCTACGAGAAGCGGCTCTACAAAACCCTCGCGCTGAGCAGACGAGGAAAAGCCAAATTAGCTCACTAAATCACGGCGCAGGGATCGGAACGGCGTTACCGAGAGCCGGCGACAAATGAGGTCTAAGTGGAGGACTTTCAGAACAAGGTTTAAAGAGCTGCAAGTGCTGCGGGAAGAGGCAGCTCTGTCAGTCACTGTCAGACAATCACAGGCCTGAGTGTTCACCATTATTTTTGGTCCGGCTCTCCTCAGCTCCGGCTCTCCTCAACTCCGGCTCTCCTCAACTCCGGCTCTCCTCAACTCCGGCTCTCCTCAACTCCGGCTCTCCTCAGCTCCGGCTCTCCTCAACTCCGGCTCTCCTCAACTCCGGCTCTCCGGTCCGGCTTTCCGGTCCGGCTCTCCGGTCCGGCTTTCCGGTCCGGCTCTCCGGTCCGGCTCTCCGGTCCGGCTCTCCGGTCCGGCTCTCCGGTCCGGCTCGCCGGTCCGGCTCTCCGGTCCGGCTCTCCGGTCTCGCTCTCCGGTCTCGCTCTCCGGTCTCGCTCTCCGGTCTCGCTCTCCGGTCTCGCTCTCCGGTCTCGCTCTCTGGTTTCGCCCTCTGGTCTCTCTCGGGTCCCTCTCTGGTCTCTCTCCGGTCTGTCTCTCTGGTCTCTCTCTCTGGTCTCGCTCTCTGGTCCCTCTCGGGGTCCCTCTCTGGTCTCTCTCTCTGGTCTCTTTCTGGTCCCCTGTTTAACGTAACTACATGGCTTCTCAGTAAAAGTACCATTATTATGTCTAATCAAGACGTTTAAAGCTCGTCTGTAAAATCCGCTGACACTAATGGGATTATCTTCACCTCAACACCTCACTTCAGAGATGATTCAAAGATGCAGATCGTCCTGGACTCTTGCCAACCACGACATCCTCCCTCCCTCCCCTCCTTCTCTCCCCTTCTCCCCTCAGGCCACGACTCCAGTGAGTAATGAAAGCAGAGCCAGAGATTGGGAGGCTCCGCGGACCTCCAGGCATCAGGGAGGTCCAGGTCTCTGCATCAAGCTCTAGATCTAAAGACTATACTTAGACAAATGACTTCTACTCGTACTGTATAAAAGTGCAAATGGAGATGTTATCGGTGGTGTTTATGTGACATCACAACACTCCAAAGAGCCTATAGTCTAACATTGTGGTAGAGGGCAGCTGAAAAACCTTTCCTGGTAACTATGGAAAGTGTCAAAAGGCAGATTCTAGTCTTGGTTTAGAGCTATATTATCTGTATTTCCACGAGAACAATCCACGGGAGACAAAAATATCAAATCTAAGGTATCTCTGGTCTCTCTCGCTCTGGTCTTTCGCAAGTTCCTCTCTTGTCTCTATAGTTTCTGGCCCTCTCTGGTCCCTCTCTGGTCTCTCTCTCTCTAGACTATCTCCCTCTCTGGCCTCTCTATTTATTCTCTCTCTGGTCTCCCTCTCTGGTCTCTTTCTCCGGTTTTCTTTCTGTTTTCTCTCTCTTGTTTCTGTCTGGTCTCTTTCTCGTCTCCCTCTCTGGTCTCTCTCTGGTCTCTTTCTGGCCTCTCTCTGGCCTCTCTCTGGCCTCTCTCTGGCCTCTCTCTGGCCTCTCTCTGGCCTCTCTCTGGCCTCTCTCTGGCCTCTCTCTGGCCTCTCTCTGGCCTCTCTCTGGCCTCTCTCTGGCCTCTCTCTGGCCTCTCTCTGGCCTCTCTCTGGCCTCTCTCTGGTCTCTCTCTGGTCTCTCTCTGGTCTCTCTCTGGTCTCTCTCTGGTCTCTCTCTGGTCTCTCTCTGGTCTCTCTCTGGTCTCTCTCTGGTCTCTCTCTGGTCCCTCTCTGATCTCTCTCTGGTCTCTCTCTCTGGTCTCTCTCTCTGGTCTCTCTCTCTGGTCTCTCTCTCTCTAGACTATCTCCCTCTCTGGCCTCTCTATTTCCTCTCTCTCTGGTCTCTCTCCCTCTCTGGTCTCTCTGGTCTCTCTCTGGTCTCTCTCTGGTCTCTCCTCTGGTCTCTCCTCTGGTCTCTCCTCTGGTCTCTCCTATGGTCTCTCTCTCTGGTCTCTCTCTCTCTAGACTATCTCCCTCTCTGGCCTCTCTATTTATTCTCTCTCTGGTCTCCCTCTCTGGTCTCTTTCTCCGGTTTTCTTTCTGATCTCTCTCTGGTCTCTTTTTCTGTTTTCTCTCTCTTGTTTCTGTCTGGTCTCTTTCTCGTCTCCCTCTCTGGTCTCTCTCTGGTCTCTCTCTGGTCTCTCTCTGGTCTCTCTCTGGTCTCTCTCTGGTCTCTCTCTGGTCTCTCTCTGGTCTCTCTCTGGTCTCTCCTCTGGTCTCTCCTCTGGTCTCTCCTCTGGTCTCTCCTCTGGTCTCTCTCTCTGGTCTCTCTCTCTGGTCTCTCTCTCTCTAGACTATCTCCCTGTCTGGCCTCTCTATTTCTTCTCTCTCTGGTCTCCCTCTCTGGTCTCTTTCTCCGGTTTTCTTTCAGATCTCTCTCTGGTCTCTTTTTCTGTTTTCTCTCTCTTGTTTCTGTCTGGTCTCTTTCTCGTCTCTCTCTCTGGTCTCTCTCTGGTCTCTCTCTGGTCTCTCTCTGGTCTCTCTCTGGTCTCTCTCTGGTCTCTCTCTGGTCTCTCCTCTGGTCTCTCCTCTGGTCTCTCCTCTGGTCTCTCCTCTGGTCTCTCCTCTGGTCTCTCCTCTGGTCTCTCCTCTGGTCTCTCCTCTGGTCTCTCCTCTGGTCTCTCCTCTGGTCTCTCTCTGGTCTCTCTCTGGCCTCTCTCTGGCCTCTCTGGTCTCTCTCTGGTCTCTCTCTGGTCTCTCTCTGGTCTCTCTCTGGTCTCTTTCTGGTCTCTTTCTGGTCTCTCTCTGGTCTCTCTCTGGTCTCTCTCTGGTCTCCTCTCTGGTCCCTCTCTGGTCCCTCTCTGGTCTCTCTCTCTGGTCTCTCTCTCTGGTCTCTCTCTCTGGTCTCTCTCTCTGGTCTCTCTCTCTCTAGACTATCTCCCTCTCTGGCCTCTCTATTTCCTCTCTCTCTGGTCTCTCTCCCTCTCTGGTCTCTCTCTGGTCTCTCTCTGGTCTCTCTCTGGTCTCTCCTCTGGTCTCTCCTCTGGTCTCTCCTCTGGTCTCTCCTCTGGTCTCTCCTCTGGTCTCTCCTCTGGTCTCTCTCTCTGGTCTCTCTCTCTCTAGACTATCTCCCTCTCTGGCCTCTCTATTTATTCTCTCTCTGGTCTCCCTCTCTGGTCTCTTTCTCCGGTTTTCTTTCTGATCTCTCTCTGGTCTCTTTTTCTGTTTTCTCTCTCTGGTCTCTCTCTGGTCTCTCTCTGGCCTCTCTCTGGCCTCTCTGGTCTCTCTCTGGTCTCTCTCTGGTCTCTCTCTGGTCTCTCTCTGGCCTCTCTCTGGTCTCTCTCTGGTCTCTCTCTGGTCTCTGTCTGGTCTCTCTCTGGTCTCTCTCTGGTCTCTCTCTGGTCTCTCTCTGGTCTCTCCTCTGGTCTCTCCTCTGGTCTCTCCTCTGGTCTCTCCTCTGGTCTCTCCTCTGGTCTCTCTCTCTGGTCTCTCTTTCTCTAGACTATCTCCCTGTCTGGCCTCTCTATTTCTTCTCTCTCTGGTCTCCCTCTCTGGTCTCTTTCTCCGGTTTTCTTTCTGATCTCTCTCTGGTCTCTTTTTCTGTTTTCTCTCTCTTGTTTCTGTCTGGTCTCTTTCTCGTCTCCCTCTCTGGTCTCTCTCTGGTCTCTCTCTGGTCTCTCTCTCTCTGGTCTCTCTCTGGTCTCTCTCTGGTCTCTCTCTGGTCTCTCTCTGGTCTCTCTCTGGTCTCTCTCTGGTCTCTCCTCTGGTCTCTCCTCTGGTCTCTCCTCTGGTCTCTCCTCTGGTCTCTCTCTCTGGTCTCTCTCTCTCTATACTATCTCCCTCTCTGGCCTCTCTATTTCCTCTCTCTCTGGTCTCTCTCCCTCTCTGGTCTCTCTATTTATTCTCTCTCTGGTCTCTTTCTCCGGTTTTCTTTCTGATCTCTCTCTGGTCTCTTTTTCTGTTTTCTCTCTCTTGTTTCTGTCTGGTCTCTTTCTCGTCTCCCTCTCTGGTTTCTCTCTGGTCTCTCTCTGGTCTCTCTCTGGTCTCTCTCTGGTCTCTCTCTGGTCTCTCTCTGGCCTCTCTCTGGCCTCTCTCTGGCCTCTCTCTGGCCTCTCTCTGGCCTCTCTCTGGTCTCTCTCTGGTCTCTCTCTGGCCTCTCTCTGGCCTCTCTCTGGCCTCTCTCTGGCCTCTCTCTGGCCTCTCTCTGGCCTCTCTCTGGTCTCTCTCTGGTCTCTCTCTGGTCTCTCTCTGGTCTCTCTCTGGTCTCTCTCTGGTCTCTCTCTGGTCTCTCTCTGGTCTCTCCTCTGGTCTCTCCTCTGGTCTCTCCTCTGGTCTCTCCTCTGGTCTCTCCTCTGGTCTCTCCTCTGGTCTCTCTCTCTGGTCTCTCTCTCTCTAGACTATCTCCCTGTCTGGCCTCTCTATTTATTCTCTCTCTGGTCTCCCTCTCTGGTCTCTTTCTCCGGTTTTCTTTCTGATCTCTCTCTGGTCTCTTTTTCTGTTTTCTCTCTCTTGTTTCTGTCTGGTCTCTTTCTCGTCTCCCTCTCTGGTCTCTCTCTGGTCTCTCTCTGGCCTCTCTCTGGCCTCTCTCTGGCCTCTCTCTGGCCTCTCTGGTCTCTCTCTGGCCTCTCTGGTCTCTCTCTGGTCTCTCTCTGGTCTCTCTCTGGTCTCTCTCTGGTCTCTCTCTGGTCTCTCTCTGGTCTCTCTCTGGTCTCTCTCTGGTCTCTCTCTGGTCTCTCTCTGGTCTCTCTCTGGTCTCTCTCTGGTCTCTCTCTGGTCTCTCTCTGGTCCCTCTCTGGTCCCTCTCTGGTCCCTCTCTGGTCTCTCTCTCTGGTCTCTCTCTCTGGTCTCTCTCTCTGGTCTCTCTCTCTGGTCTCTCTCTCTGGTCTCTCTCTCTCTAGACTATCTCCCTCTCTGGCCTCTCTATTTCCTCTCTCTCTGGTCTCTCTCCCTCTCTGGTCTCTCTCTGGTCTCTCCTCTGGTCTCTCCTCTGGTCTCTCCTCTGGTCTCTCCTCTGGTCTCTCCTCTGGTCTCCTCTGGTCTCTCTCTCTGGTCTCTCTCTCTCTAGACTATCTCCCTCTCTGGCCTCTCTATTTATTCTCTCTCTGGTCTCCCTCTCTGGTCTCTTTCTCCGGTTTTCTTTCTGATCTCTCTCTGGTCTATTTTTCTGTTTTCTCTCTCTTGTTTCTGTCTGGTCTCTTTCTCGTCTCCCTCTCTGGTCTCTCTCTGGTCTCTCTCTGGTCTCTCTCTGGTCTCTCTCTGGTCTCTCTCTGGTCTCTCTCTGGTCTCTCTCTGGTCTCTCTCTGGTCTCTCCTCTGGTCTCTCCTCTGGTCTCTCCTCTGGTCTCTCCTCTGGTCTCTCCTCTGGTCTCTCCTCTGGTCTCTCCTCTGGTCTCTCTCTCTGGTCTCTCTCTCTCTAGACTATCTCCCTCTCTGGCCTCTCTATTTCTTCTCTCTCTGGTCTCCCTCTCTGGTCTCTTTCTCCGGTTTTCTTTCTGATCTCTCTCTGGTCTCTTTTTCTGTTTTCTCTCTCTGGTCTCTTTTTCTGTTTTCTCTCTCTTGTTTCTGTCTGGTCTCTTTCTCGTCTCTCTCTCCCTCTCCGGTCTCTCTCTTGTCTCTTTGTTCTCTCTCTGGTGTCTGTCTCTGGTCCTTATATTAGTATGGATGGATCTGAACACTATCTAAACACTACTCCGGTCGTTAATTTTATGAGGAAAACGGTTAAATGCTAAAAATAGTCCATTCTACACATAATCTTTCTAACAGCAAAAACGTCTTCTCTGTGGTTATAAAACACCATTATTTCTATTTTTACACAAACGCTTGGGTTTCAGGGATTGGAAAATGAAAGTCTCCATCCGACTGCTGCTGGTGTCGATTGCTGCTAGTCCCCGGAGTCGTCCTTGTCCCTCCATTTTGTGCCCCACTCGTCCCCTGGT